CGAGCCGCTACGCATGATGGCAGGCTTAATACGTATAGTTTTACTTTTGGCGGTCGTCAGATTGTCTTGCATCCTGCTACTTCTCCCCGGTGCCGCCTCCTCCTGCTTCGCCTGTTCTCTTTCTATCGAGATCGGCTTTTGTCCAGGAGATGCAGTCGGCCGACTTCGTCCTTTTACTTCTGGGCTCGGACAGGACGGTTGATCGCGTACCCCCACCCATTATCCAGCCACTGTTGACTGAGTTCGTCGACGTGTTTCCCGACGACCTTCCTACCGGGTTGCCTCCTTTGCGAGAGATCCAGCATCATATCGACTTGGTCCCGGGAGCCTCTCTTCCTAATCGGCCTCACTACTGCATGAGCCCAGTGGAACACGAGGAGCTTCGCAGACAGGTGGAGGAGCTCTTGCAACGAGGGGTGGTGCGTCGGAGCCTGAGTCCGTGTGCCGTGCCGGCACTGTTGATTCCGAAGAAGGACGGGCTTGGCGTATGTGTGTTGACAGTCGGGCCATCAACAAAATCACGGTCAGGTATCGCTTTCCCATTCCTCGGTTAGATGACTTATTGGACCAGTTGCACGGTGCCACTGTTTTCACCAAGTTGGACCTTCGTAGTGGCTACCATCAGATCCGGATTCGGCCGGGCGATGAGTGGAAGACTGCTTTTAAGATCCGAGAGGGGCTTTTTGAGTGGATGGTCATGCCGTTTGGTCTATCCAATGCGCCGAGCACGTTTATGCGTATCATGAACCAGACTTTACGTGATCTTATCGGGCGTTGTGTCGTCGTCTATTTCGATGACATCCTCACATACAGTCGTTCGGTCGAGGAGCATTTGGAGCATGTGCGAGCAGTGCTTCTTATATTACGAGTTGAGTCCTTCTATGCAGCACCTCATAAGTGTTTTTTCTTGGTTGACTCGGTCTTGTTCTTGGGCTTCCTCGTTTCGACCGAGGGTATTCGGGTGGATGACAGTAAAGTGGCAGCTGTTCGGGATTGGCCGACACCGACAACATTCACTGAGGCGCGTAGCTTTCATGGACTGGCCTCGTTCTATCGGCGCTTCATTTCACACTTTAGTTCGATCATGGCCCCGATCACGGACTGCCTCACAGGGAAAGTGTTCACGTGGACCGATGAGGCTGCTACAGCCTTCAGTCGCATCAAGGATAAGCTGACTTCGGCTCCGGTGCTTGTCTTACCGGATTTTTCTCATCCTTTTGAGCTTTCTTGCGACGCCTCGAAGGTGGGGATTGGTGTTGTCCTTAGCCAGGATGGCCGCCCGGTCTCCTTCTTCAGTGAGAAGCTCTCGGGCCCGCGATTGAGGTATAGTACTTATGATGTTGAGTTTTATGCTGTCATTCGTGCTGTGCGCCATTGGCGCCATTATCTGTTTCACAGGGAGTTTGTGTTGTACACCGACCATGAGGCGCTGCGACACTTGGCCTCACAGGATAATATCTCTACACGGCATGCTTCTTGTACTGCCTTTCTACAGCAGTTCACCTTTGTTCTCCGCCATCGATCGGGTGCCTCTAACAGGGTAGCCGATGCCTTGAGTAGGCGTTCCCTTCTTTTGTCCGAGATGTGTCTATCGGTGGTGGGTTTTGAGGTGCTACGGGATGTGTACGCAGCGGACCCGTTCTTTGGCCCAATTTTGGGTCGCTTATGTGACGGGCCCTACGAGGACTATTCGATGGTGGAGGGGTTTCTTTTTCGTGGGACTCGTTTGTGTATTCCGGATTGTAGCCTCCGGTACCAGCTTGTCGCTGACTTGCACGGGACCGGCCATGTGGGCCGTGATAGGTCCGTCGCTTTGGTGAGTAGCCGCTATTTTTGGCCGTCCCTTCGGCGTGATGTCGGCAGGTTTGTCGAACGTTTTCG